ACGAATTAAAAAAAAATATTTATATATGATGAATATACAATAAATCATATATGAGACTTTATAACATACCACCTCAAAACAAATAAAAATAAAAATTTGTTGTTCAAAATTACTTCGGGTGATAATATAGTTTAGTAATTCTTTAGCACTTTAATATTTCCATCATTTTCTAATTTCTTTTAGTTTCTTTCAACTTTTTTCGGATTTTTCCAATATCTAACCTTAAAATTTTAATTAAAAAAACTAGTTCAACGTGGTATGCATACCTTCTGAGATAGAACCAGAACCTGAGATTTATACTTTTGAGTTCCCATATCAGAACCAGTACCAAAACAGATGGCGGTCCCCCCCGGCGGTTGCGAAACCAGAACATGCTTGAAACTTTTTTATTTTGTTAAATTATACGGAGTAATTTTGTTACAAAAAAAAAGGATAAATAAATATATCTAGATGTAGTTGTTAATTGTAAAATAGCTAATCTAAATATAGTAAATGCCTAGCCAAATTGAAAAACAAAAAAAATGAAATATGGTCCGGTTGTGGTTCCGGTTCTGATTCTGATTTTAAATAGAGTTGATTGGAGCTTTTGATTTTCGTCTGTACGGTTTTGGTGTTGTTCCTAACAGTCCTTAATTTTGTCTTGAAATACCTACCATCTCCTTTCTCAAATGCCAATATTTTCCAAAATAATTCATATGGACACGTTATTTTTACCATTACATCATATATTTTTACTAATAATCTATTCACAACATCTTACTTTACCCATCACATCAAGCGTATTATTTGAAAAAATAACACAAATATTTCTCTCTTAAATACTTAAAAATTCAATAAGGGAACATGTTTCAGGGACGGAGGAAGTAAATATTTGTTATATAAGTTTTGAATTAAAATAGATAAATAATTTAAAAGAAACAGAGAGACAGACAACAGGGCGATAACATAGCAGGTTGTTGGAATGATACTAAAAATTAGTAAAATGCTTATGTATCAGGAAATGAGGTAGAGCGAGATTCCTCCCTATTGTATTGTAAATGCTCTAAGGAAAAATTTAGGTGTGCCCCAAGGCAATGTACCTCAAGTGTACATCAGAGACAGACACCCATTGTTTGTAGTTCACACATACAATGCTTGGAGTTTATACCTTGGGGTGCACCTAAGAAATCCAATGCTCTAAGTGAATGATCAAGTAAAAATAAAGAGAAAAATGCTAGGGGTACACCAAAAGTGTACCCTATTTGTCCCCCACCCCTTCCATCACCACAATAAAAGCCAAGAAAATAAAAAAAATTAAATAAAAAAAAATAAAAAAAATTGAATAGTGGAAAAAGGGGTGGGAGACAAATGGGGTACACCCATTTGATGTACCCCTAGCATTCCTCAAATAAAGAAGAGGGGTGAAAGTGTCATTTGGACAGAATTTTTGTCTGGTTCTATGGGGTGGATGGAGACAGACCATCTCATTCCTATAAATAAAATTTTTTAAAAAAAAAAGGAAAGAAAGAAAGAAAATACAGCTGTCTTTACCCCCTGTAATTTTCTCCATCCCCATTAAATGCTTTCTACTTTTCATCTCACTGTCACGCTCCCACTACTACCCCTTCTCTCACCCCAACTATGTGCTTCTACGTGTTTAAACTTAGTACGTTTCTGTCTTTGTATTAGTTTTTTTTTTTGATATTTTTGAATTAAACTCAATAATTTCAAGTCTCCCTCAAATAAAATCTCAATGTAAATTTGTGTTAAAAATCTAATTACATTTATCTAATTGAGAATATTTACAAATGTATGGATTGTCTTGTTATACTCCGTATTAATGCGTATTATAAATTAAATGTAATTAATGATTAAATTTATTTAGTTTGACTTGAAAAGATCCACTCAACAAATACATTATGATGGTGGGGTTACTTCTTTATTGGATTATATACCAATCCGTCCCCGAAAATTTATTTTCTTTCGAACAAACCCACAAAATACGTCTTTTAAATTGATTTTAATTACAAACTACATATTTACAAATTACAGTAAAAATTTTACAAAATTAATGGTGATGAAAAAAATTATTTTATTAAACAATCCGTAAATTACTCCATCCGTCCCAATTTTTCTTCCCATTTTGAGTTTTATGGTCCACATTTTAAACTTGTGATTATAAATTACTCAAAAAATACTTTAAATTATGATATAAATTTAATATTAATAAATTTATTTTGAAATGTACTTTTAGAATATCATATTTTTAAAACCTATATTTATATGTAAATAGAGATATTCGTATTCAAAGTGTTACGTTGCAAATCGTGAAAAGTCAAATTGCAAGAAAGATGTGAAATAGAGTGGGTATTAGAAAGGGCACACAAGCAAAAATTATCCAAAATCCGAAAAAGTAGCAGGCCATTTTTTAGAGGCAGAGAAGTAAATGTTTTTCAAAATATTAAAATACAAAAAGTTGATGTCTCTACTTGAATTTTAATATCTGACCACGTTCAATTCGGGAGAACTATATTTATGTTATTTGACCACAAGATTTATAGCCTATTTTCACCTTATCTGGTTTTAAAAAATTAAAGCGTACAATTAAAATTTAAAAAAAATAGAAAATAATTATCCACATAAATTCTTTTATTCAAGTTAAATAAAAATGATACCCTGAATTTGGTATTTGATATTTGAAAATTAGAACTTATATTTCATGTTCTCTAAATTAGAACTTATATTTCATGTTCTCTAGTGCTATAATGTCTTTGCCGCCACTGGTCACCGACGTTTGACAGGTGGTCCACCAAAGGTTAATGATCACATTATCATATCAAAATATCGTCACTTATTCATCACATTGCTATTACACTCTTATCCGGGGAATTTAGAGATTGTTCTCTTTACATGACTTTTGTCTTTTAGCATACTCCATTTTTAGCTATTTGCATACCAAAATATGTATCCAAATAATATCTTAGAGGTATGCACATCTATTTTGTGTCAATGTGATACTATAAGAGTGTAATAGTTTAATTTATACAGACACAAAATGATGCCGTAAAATATTTTTATTTTTGGTGAATATTTTAGTGGTACCCTTGTTTTTATTTTAAATTCATCAGCCGTCTCTTCCGCGAATGAATGATTGAGGAAAGGGGGCCCGCACGAGAGGGGTACTTGCATGGTTTAAGACTTATCTCAATCTCAATGCAATTCATATTTACGCATTTCTTTTATCGATAAAACTTGTACAGGTGCATCTGCACGCCCCCTTTTTTCGTTTTTCCCATACCAAATATTTTAATAGTCCCTCCTTTTCAATACTATACTTTAATGTATTGATTTTTATTTCACTTTCTTTAAACCAAAATACACTCTTACTTTAAAACAAAAACTATCATGCATACATTTAAAAATTACGTCAAATATTAATAAAAAACAAGACTATATCATTTTAATAAATACTATATGAAATAGTGTGAATATAAAAAAATGTTTGTATCGCAATCGCATATAAAGAAATATATTGTTCGGGTATTATTTGTGATAATAACAGGTTTTATTTGTTAAGTAAGAAAAATACTCCTCCTTCCCACAAAATCTTTCGGTTTGTGATTTTTAAATGATTTTAAGAAAATATATTTTGGTGTTGAGTTTCCAAAAATATTTTCGGATATGATGGGTAAAAGTAGAATGCGATGAATACTTACTTTGTAATATGAATGAGAATATTTTTTGGGACAGATTAAAAAAGAACAAAGAAAAGTTTTTTGAGACGAAAAGAGTATTAAATATGTGGTGCAAATTTGATGTACATTGTTTAGAGAAAACACATTCATTTAATTTGTAATGCAGCACAAAAGTCACAAAAGTCTCTTAACTGAATGAGATAATTACATTACATTCAAATTATTTTTCCAACTTATCATTTTTTCTTATTAAAATTGAACTAGATTAGAATAGAATAATCACATCAGAAATAAATTTAAGTATAAATAAAATCAGATTAAACATACTTCCTCCGTCCCACTTTAGATTACAATATTCTCTTTTTGTTGAAATTAAGGAAGAGTCAAATCAAATTTTTTTCCCCCAAACTACCCCCAAGTGGCCCACTCACATGGATGAATAGTATGTGAATAGTGTAGGAGTGGGAGGGTAAAAGAGTCAATTCCTTGTAAAGTTATTGACTTTATATTTTTTTTGAAACAAAAATGTGAGAGAATATTGTAATCTATTTCAGGACGTACAAAACATCAGATCATATCAGAGAAACGAAACACAACTTACAAGTAGGGGTGGACACGGTACGGTTCCGGTACCGCCACCCCTTGGTACCGGTACCGGTTACGGTTTCGTTACCGGTGGTTCCGGTTCCGGTACCGTTTCGACCACCCATAATTTCCTTTTTTTTTTTTGCTTTTTATTAAATTTTTAAAGTGTAAAATTGTAAATGTGTAATTGTTAAAAGAAAGGATGAAATAAAAAACTCTAAAAATGAAATTAATAAAGGAAAGAATGAAATAAAAAAATAAAAATAAAAAAAATTAATTACGGTACCGGAACCGAAACCGGTACCGCCGGTGCCAGTACCGAAAAATTGGCACCGGAACCGGTACCGGTTCCCGGAACCAGTGGACCGTCTCGGCCGACGGTAACAGTACCGTAACCGGTGATACTGTTTCCGGTCACGGAACCGTACCAATACCGTGTCCACCCTACTTACAAGAGGTTGACTTTTAGTGGGGGCAATAATTTGTAAAATGGAGATGCAAATTTGAATAAAAATAATGCAATGGAGGTGGGGCATTAGTACCCAAAGTCATGATTTATCACCCAGAAAACGATACATACAATATGGCAAATAATATGAGAGAGAAATTCAAGAAAGTTTATTGCATTATTATTATTATTACAACGCACCCCCCCTGTCTATAAACAACGGTGCGAATGTTGGAAGCATGGAGGCACACCAAAGGTCGACAATGGCGGCAAAACATTTCTAAATCCAATTTCCCAATTTACCCTTCCCCCCCAGAAAAAAAAAAGAGAAAGATACCCACCCCACCCACCCTGGAAAGAACAAAGCTCAAGAAACAAGGTTACTTTTAAAGCCTCTTTCTTTGATGCTTTCCTGTTACTCATAGATTAGGGAAGAAGAGAGGAAAAAAAGCCGGGGTTTTGAATCTTTTGGTTCATTTTCATGGAAAACGGTGCTATTAGCGGGTATGCCTTTTCCGACAAGGAGGCGGCGCCAGGTAGCAGCGGTGCCGCCGGAATTGGAAATTCTGTTTTTGGTGGCAGTTTCGGGCTGGATGAGGCGTTGGGTCGTCATTCCGTCGACAGCGGCGGCCCTGTGGTGGTGCGGATTTCGCACCCTTTTCAGCATCACTGTTCCAATAGTTCTCCCCTGCCGTTTAAATCCCCAGGTATGTTTCTTCAAGCTCCCTCCCTGTGGTTTTCTTTATGATACCAGAAGAAGAAGAAACAAAGCTGAGATTTTTTCTCTTTCGTGCAGGCGGAGGAATGGCGACGGCTATGGGGTTTCCGTTTACATGGGCGCAGTGGAAGGAACTGGAGAGACAGGCCATGGTTTATAAGTACATGATGGCATCTGTCCCTGTTCCTCCTGAACTTCTCTTAGCCATTTCGTCGAACACTTACCCTGCATCCACCGCCGCCCCTGTTCAGCGTAAGAGCTTCTGACAATTCTTTACCCACGATTCTTTCGTGGGTGGGGGATAGAAATCCGATTCGTTCTCGGACGGGGAAGAACTGATTTGGGATTTCTCTGATCCGGTTAAAATTTTCGCAGGTGGGGGAAAGAACAGAGATTTAGAGCCAGGGAGGTGCAAGAGAACAGACGGGAAGAAATGGAGGTGCGCCAAAGAGGTGGCGCCGAACCAGAAGTACTGCGAGCGGCATTTGCACCGCGGCCGCCCCCGTTCAAGAAAGCCTGTGGAAGACCCTCATCATCATCACCACTCCGCCGCCTCCATCAACGCCGCCAAGAAGAACCGCGGCGTCCAACCGGCGCTTCCAGTTCAGTCTACTGAATCGCCTTCTTCTTCCAGCCTTATTCTTGGATCTCAACCCCGGTCGCTTGATGATGCTAAATTGGAGCAAAAGCTCTCCATCTCCCATTTTAAGGAACCAAATAGGTTTGTCTGGTTTCCCCTCATCTTTTGCAAAATCAACATTCTTGATGGCTCGGCCGGTCTATCTATGGATCGGCCGACAAAGGCATAGACATAGTTTGAGCCCGATCTGGGCTCAAATTAGGCATTTTTTCGGTATCAACAACGGGGTTGCCTTGCGAATAACATTTGAAATTAGCTTTAACAAACAACAAAAACAAAAACATTACCATATGTCTCAAAGGTTATTGCCCATTGTTTGGTAAGGGGTTGGAAGTATGAAGCCTGACTCTTATATTTTCAAAATATAGAGAGACTTTTTTTAGATAACACATAACAAGCGTCCAAAGTTGCATTGGCGAACCATTATTTCAACGCTTCAAGAGAAGCACAAACAATATAAAAAGTCATTTGTTTTAGCCCATTATATCCCAAGCCAAAAAATAGTGAATCTTTGACTCTATGGACAACAACGAAGATTGCAATTAGTGTTAAAGTTTATGATAGTTTATCAATGTTATAAATTACTTCATCTATACCAAAATGATGTTCTAATTTATGCAGAGTTTGCCTTAAAGGTGTGAATGTTGTGGGTTGAACCTTGAGATAAAAAAGCATATTACTCCGTAGTAATTACTTTTTGACCATCTTTATTCTCTAATGATTTTTTTATTACATTGTTATAATAAAGGAATTTTGACTGGATGATGATGGAAGGGGAGATGGTTGCCATGGGAGGAGCTGAGGAACAATGGCAACACTTATTAATGGAATCAAGAGCAAACACAAGACTGGCTTTTGATACATCATCTCCGCTCTATAGAAGAAGAGGTGAGATTGGGTTTTTCCAGCTTGACTCCAATGATCATCACCACCACAACAATGGCAGCTATTACGATGCTTCAATGGCGGCGGGATCAGTCCGAAACGACGGTCCTGTTCATTGCAACGGAACGTGGAAGTCGGCCGTTCCAATGTGGGCCCCGTTTGAATCTGGAGGGCCGTTGGCAGAGGCTCTCAAACCGAGCAACCACCACCAGCATCACATTGACGCGGACTCGATCAGCCAGGCTGGGACCAGTAGCGTCTCCTCCCCGACAGGCGTTCTGCAGCCGAAGGCTGCCACTTCGTTCTCTCAATCCGATGGCAGCGTCTGTAACAGCCCCACCGCTCTTCCCCCCGCGCCTCCTTGTTCAGATATGCTCCCATTCCGGTGGCTTCTATAGTTAACGGGGGGGCAAAAATAAATTCACTACGGGTGTTCATTTCTTGTTTTTCTTCTTCTGTTCTGTGGGTTCATTTTGGTTTCTGCACAAGTGAAATGCAAAAGGGGTTCTTTTTACTACTTACAATTTTGCTCTTAACCTTTGCAAGTTGGTAAAACATATTACTTGGGTTCTTTTGACACCTATATCATAAATTTATTCATAATGTTAATAACTTATTCGTTTTACACCTAACATAAATGGATAATTAAGTACAATTAGAAGTTGAGAAGAAGATTAATGGGAGGGATTATGGAGACATGATTACGTGCACTGTTCATACATAACGGCTTCTCTGTTTTGTAGTGTCGTGTCTAATCTAAGTTTAACGCGAAATCTAAAGTTAAAACAAAGCATATTGTGAGTTGTCTGTATGTGGTGGTGTAATGGAGAGAAGTGGGTTTTTCGTGAAGGAGATGTCTTTTCTTTTCTATTTCTTGATGGTCTTATCAGTATCTTTGTCGGCCCCCCTGCTAGATTTTTTCTGATAGCAGTACGGCTGTGGATGTGATTGTAGGGTATACGTAATGCTAATCGGTTATGTACAGAAATAGCTACGATGATGAAATCAGGTTGAGATGGCCGAGTTGGTCTAAGGCGCCAGATTAAGGTTCTGGTCCGAAAGGGCGTGGGTTCAAATCCCACTCTCAACATTTCTTTTTTTTTTTTCTCGTTTCACTTTTTTTTCTCTTTGGTCTATTTTTATTTGTTTTCATTAAGCTAAATTTTACTACTTTCTACATTGCATAAAATGCTTCTCCCATTGATTTTTGTGAAGTTTAATGCCACTCTCAACATTTCTTTTTTTTCCCGTTTCACTTTTCTTTTCTCTTTTGTCTATTTTTATTTTTTTCATCAAGCTAAATTTTACTAGTTTCTACGTTGCATAAAATGCTTCTCCCATTGATTTTTTTGAAGTTTAATAAAAATATTGGAAAATAAAACATGTGACTTTAAATTGGTTAAGAGTGACATTTTAGATGTCATAGTTTTTTTTAAAAAAAAAATAGAAGTTTTTTTAGACGAAAAAGTTGGAAGCTAATAAAAGCTTAATGACAATGTAGTGTTTTTTAGTTTTTAAAATATATAAAATTTATTTTATTATTCTACATTGATGTTCTAATAAAATTGTTTAAAAATAATTTTAATCAACATTATAAATAACACCCCTTCCAATATTAAAAACTCTTCATGATTTAAACCTTTTAGTCAAATGGTGACATTATTTAACTATAAGTTAAACATAAATAAATAAATGTTATAAAAATTTAGTATATCAATATTACTCCGTATATCTTATAAGTTATAATGAACTCAGCGATATTGAATTTATATTTTAATTTTATATAGTTTTCTTGTAATTTATGTTAAAAAAGTATTGTTGTTTAACCAAAAAAAGTCCAAATAGAGAGTATTTATAAGATCGGAATGAATTCTAACTACTCCGTCTAACCACAACATTCACTGTTTACAGGGCTTAATCACTTAATTTATTTTCGTTATCCATTGTAATATAGTTCTAAAATATGTAAATTTTATTGTTTAATTCCTATTTGTTCATCATTTTTTATATAAAATAAATTAAAAATAAATTCAGTCAAATTCATAATGCGATCGGAAGATAATTGTTGGATAAAGATAATAAACTTTATTTTCAAAAAAAAAAATTCCTAGATTTTGAGCCTGATTCAGAAAGAAGGCCCATGAAGTGAGTCCAATTCGACAAGATCTCTGAGTCCACATGGCAAAAATCAACAAGACATGATAGAATTTCTTTTAAATTTTATTTTATTATTTTCTTGTGGATCAACTCGTATTAATTTCAGAAAATTACTTTGGAGTAATCTCGATTTTCTGATAATGGCCGTGTTTGGAAAACAGTATTTCGGATAGCTTTTGGCATGTTTGACTGACTTCGGCTTTTTGGACTGAGCGAACCGCAAAAACCATTGTTTGGCTAATGGCTTTTTCACTTGACATTTTGATCCGAAAAGCCAAAATCTGAAATGCCAAGAAGAGTAGCTTTTGGACTTGGATGTTAGGAAAATCAATTTTTTAAAATCATTTTTCTTGAAAAATATTTTATAATATATGTAAAAAGTAAAAATAAAAATAAAACTTAAAAATTTAAATACTGAGCAAAATAAATTTAAAAATTTAAAAATTTCAAAAAAATGAAATGAGAAAATAAAAAATAAAAATCATTAAAAAATTGTATATTAATAATTTCTTATGAATTAAATGAAAGTAAAATTTAATACTTCATATACTAAAGATTTAATTTTTACATGTAAAAAAGTGAAAAATAAATATTGTGTGTGTGTGTATATATATATGAAAAAACTATTTTCAAACAGCTGATTTTACCAAACAATTTTAACAATCAGCCAGTTCATCCTGCTGGTCAAATCAGCTGAACTAAACAGCCATTCACAACAGTTGGCACGAACTGCCAACAGCTGACAGCCAACATCCAAACAAGGCCAATAACTCTTAATTCTCACATCATTTGAAATATACTCTCGGGTAACCTCAGTTTTCTTGTAAGAAATCTCAAATCCGGCATTATTTCATTATTTGAAATGTGCTACGGGAATTCTTAAAATTAATGATAATGTACTCTTCAGACATGTTCCGTCTATTTAACAATTAGGATTAAAAGCTTTGATAATTTGATAAATATTAAATTTTGGGGGTTAATAGCACGGGAGCCCCATGTGGTTTACAAAAAGTGTGTCAAAATCCTCCATTTTTCAAAAGTTATTTGTAAAGTCTTTGTGGTTTCTAAATAGAGCATACATGCCCCCCTTACCTATTTTTAAAGCAAAAATGACATTTATGCCCTTTGTTTTCCCCGATCTTGAATTTTTCCAATTTCAGTTTCATTTATTATACAAATATATAAAATAAAATATACGCTTTCCATCTCAAATTAGAATTTTTCATAATGTACTTTTGAAAACAAAAGATTTTTTTGGAGAATGATACAAAAAAATGAAAAATAAAATATTATGTACAAAGTAAAAAGTGATAATAGTTAAAAAAAGTAATGAAAAGAAATAAAAATATAAAAAATAGTCTTTTTCTTTAACTCCATATTTTTTTTCATTGTTCTGTTTTTCATTTTTTAAAGTCCTTAAAAAATTATTTTACTTTTAAAAAACAAATAAATTAGAATTTTTAATTACATATAGAGTGAGTATATGTTATCCAATTTTTTATTTTATTTATTTTACTTTTACTTATAATGAAAAAGTGTATTTTATTTCATTTTTGTAACATTTTCTTAAAAAAAATTATTTTTTTGAAAATTAAATAAATAAAAAAATTTAATTTGAGAAAGAGGGTGTATATTTTATTTTTTTTATTTGTATAACAAAAAATGTAAAAAAAATAGTGAAATTTGAAGATATAGAAAAACCAAGGGCAGAAATGTCATTTCATGTGTAAAATAGGCAAGAGGGGTTGTTTGTGCACTATTTAAAAACCATGAGTTTTACAAATAATTTTTGAAAATAGAAGGGGTTTTGGCGTTCCTTTTGTAAACCTAAGAGGCATCCATGCTTTTTTTGGATTCATAATTATTAGGAATAATTTTCTCCCAAAAAGGAAGAAACTGTAGCGATGCTTCGAGAACGCAGGGGAAAGCCCGTTTGTGGGTAGATGCAGAGATGTGTCTCCTTCCTTCTTCATCTTTCTTCTCCAACCTTCAAGAATTTTCTCCAATCTTCTCTCCCTTCCCATAAATATCCACACAGACCACTTTCCCCTCCCCAGTCGTAAGCTACTGATTCTTCCCAATTTTCATAATCCCAAGACATTTCCTACCAATTAACAATCAGATCATCAATGGCTGCCAATGCTCTGCTTTGCTCTGTTCCTCCTGTCGTTTCCAACCCCCCCTCTGTTTCAAATAAGACTCCCCGTCGGCTAACGTTCCGCCCCTGCTTTGCTTCCGTCCCATCTTCCCACGGCGTTAGAAGGCCGTTGAAGCTCAGAGCTCAGTCCTCCACCGCCGGTGATCACAGCCAAGACACCGCCGTCGATGTCCATCACGTCACCGGCAGTGGTGACAACACCCGCGCGGTTGAGCATCGGCCTCGCCGTCGACCTGCCGCCCTGGATGCCTCCCTTTTCGGTAAGTCCCCTGTTTTTCCGATCAAATCTTTTTTTTATTATTTCAACCCGATTTCTCATTCTAACCCATCGGTAATGTTGTTATAAAAAGGGCTTCTAGACCCACTCTCTCCAATGAGGACAATGCGCCAAATGCTGGACACCATGGACAGGATATTCGAGGACGGGTTGTCATTTCCGGCCGTCGGAAGAAACAGGGCGACCGGAGAAGTGCGGGCCCCCTGGGAGATCAGGGACGAGGAGCAAGAGATCAAGCTGCGCATCGACATGCCGGGGCTGTCCAAGGAAGAGGTAAGGGTCTCCGTGGAAGATGACCTTCTAGTCATCAAAGGGGAGCACAAGAAGGGTGACAAAGACGGCGGCAAAGACGACAACTCGTGGTGGTCGAAGAGTTACAGCTCCTACGACACCCGGTTTCGGCTGCCGGAAAACTGCGACAAGGGCAAGGTGAAGGCTGAGTTGAAGAACGGAGTTCTTCTGATCTCCGTCCCGAAGGTCAAGGTGGAGAAGAAGGTCATTGATGTTGAGATCAAGTGAGAAGGGCATCTTCTTTCTGACTTTCCATTAATATGTATATGTATGTGTAATCCTGTAATGTAATAACGTGAAATGCAAAAAAAAATGCCAATGGGTTTTTGTGGTTCTATTTTGAACAAATTTAGCAAGACATAGTGAAATAATCTCTATATAAAAAAAAAGAACAAAATTTGCTTCAAAAGGAATGGAAGCACTTGACAACAAACAGAAATTGGCATTAAGTTTAAAGGGGAAAAAACAGAATAAGTTCAAATCAGTAAAAAGATATATAATGTCAAGAAATAAATATATATATATAGACTGGTATCACTCATCATCAGTACTTTTGATGCACATTGCCCAGAGAGTTTAAACATATATATATGCTAACAACGGTCCCAATATAAATATAACCATCACCAGAAATAAACCTCATGACAACTCAAAAACCTCTAATGGATCATGTCCCACCTTCTCAGTTGTCACTTAAAAGCCGGGATAATCGTAACATATATAGGGGCTGCAGCGTATCTATGTGCACATATATATATATATATATATATAGAAAGCAAGAGATAAAGGGAACAGCTCCAGTAGCAGTGAATGCTTCAAACGCAGTGACGAGGATGAGATGCGTAGGTATATATGGATATATATGTAGATCAATGCATTCCAGCAGAACGGGGAGCGCGTGGTCGAACGGGTGTCTTTGATGGACTTACCCTGAAATTCAAAAAAAAAAAAGACAGAATTTTAAAAAGGATCATATGCTAGGGGCACTCTATTTATAGACACTTCAGTGTCTATAAATGTCGGAGTTGGTGTTACATTTGGGGTGAACCAAAGTTAAATCTTACTTAGACATAAGAACCATGGATAATCAACATCCAATGAAAGGTTTTCTTTTACAAATGAAGAATGAGGGGGGGTCCAAATAGTATACCTGATAGGAAGTGTTCCCAAAACTGCACCGCTACAGTTCAAAGCAGCAATTGCACTGTCAGCCTACCCGAGACGAGAAAAAAAAAATCTTCGATCAAAGAGGAAAATGGTGAAAAAGGTGACACAATTTGAGACAAGAGAGTATGCGTTTGTCACACATATAAGTTGTTATCAAGTCATCATCTGACGTGATTGTTGAGAACCATTCAGTTCTTATGTATTGTATCTCGACACAAAACCATAAGCGATTCAAACATACTCCGTAAGCAGGAGCAGCAACAACAACAAACCCGATAAAATCCCACAAAAAGTAGGGCATGTGGAGGGTGTGTAGGCCCTTATAGGGAGACATCACCCTACTTGAAAGTAGAGAGACTGTTTTCAAGAGATCACACACTAAAGACAAGCAAAACATAAGCAAGTGCATTAATAAAATTACCCCGAAAACAACCAACTCAAACTTGCGGATGTACTGCAAATGTATTACTGTGCACCCGACAACCCTAGCAATTCGCACACTACCGGGTTTGTGAACCGGACACCATTCATATTTTCATACTATATTCTTTATTTAGTCTAGAAAAACATCCCTTACCAAAATGGGGTACCCAAAAGAGCAATTACTAGTATGTTTCAATGAAGACAATGTTATAAGAAATACTAAGAGAAACATTGAGAAATGAATGAGCTATACTCACATAGGATATTTTGAAGAAAAATATCTAAACGCGTCAAAGTCTAACAAAAACCCCATCGATTTCAAACTACGGTGCGTTTTATTGTTGTATAGTAACTATAGTCCAACAGACAGAAATAAACCAACAAAATGGTAGTAATAAGAATAAGCATGATGAAGAGGAAACATTGAGTGGTGCAAAGAAGAAAAATAAAAATGGATCACAAATATTTCAGAAACCAGGTATTTAACTTGAAATCCCAAGGTGGGTTCAACTTACCATTACGAACTCAACAAAGGCTATGCGGGTTGTATGATTATGGTCACCAAGCAACCGCAAGCGAAGGACCTACAACATATTGGAAGATATGTTTCATCATAAATGAAATAGCTATTGAAGTTAACACAAAGCCTTCAAATTTTAGATTTCATGCAACAAACCTCTCCACAAATAGTTTCGAAGAAGAGCTTGACATCCAAATGAGTAACCTGCAAGTAGTATATAAAATTCTTAAGATCCCTCTAACGGCTACTAATTGCTCAAATAATAAGAGGAAAAAATTGCATTTACCTTCTTGTCAATGTTTGTGCAATATATAGTTCTTGCACACATTTCTCTCTCGTCTTCAGACTGCATACCACAAAGAAGATGAAGCAAACAAAAACCGTCACAACTCTGCCATTTTGGAGTTTTGATGGAGGGTTTTGAAGGTTCATATATGGCTTTATAGAGGGTGACTGAAATGTCATACCCTATAGTATATGATTTTCTATTATGTTATTCCTTCATTCAAATTTGTTTACACATAACCCCCCAAATTCGTACATCAAAACTGAAACTAAAAGAATTCACCATAAGTAAGCAACGGTGGGTTCACAGTTTGCACCTGTGGAAGAAATGTGGGGTTGACCGGTGCTATTGCTGTTTTGGAAGGAAGCACCCTCACTGGATAGTAGCCAAGCATAGTTCCTGCCAAACTCAAAGCATTTCTTGCTCCTTCTGCACAACAGATATAAAGAAGGCAACGTCAATAACTACCATAACTTGATTAACCATGGTTCAATGATTAAAAAGATGCACTTTTAAGCCTAACCTTCGTCAGTAAACTCAACGAAAGCGAAACGCAAGACAGAGTTTGGATCACCACAGATACGGCAATCAACAACCTTAATCAACACGAAGAGCAAAATAATTTCAAATAGGATGTTCCATCAAGAGGTTTATAAAAACCATTAAATGTGAGCAATCACCTGGCCACATGTGAGAAACAGTGCAGCAAGCTGTTCTTCAGTGACCTGCAGTTACAGCAGCATTCGAAAATGTTCAGAAAGAAGAGAAAATGAGAACAATGAGTAACAAATAGAGTTCAATCAAAGAAGGCTTTTGTTCTTTCACCTGATGATCAATGTCAGACACATAAACAGTTCTCCTTATGACCTCTTCTCTTTGTGCCATGCTTGTTCTATTATTCAGTCTTCTCTTCCCATTAGTATGCCCATTCTTCTTCTGCAACTGTAAACGGCTTTCAGACACATAATACCAAGGGAAATGAAATCCATTCATTTGCTTAGGTATTTACGGACTTACCCTTCTGAGAAAATTGCCATTAGGAAGGCCGGAAGGTGTCTGCAGAGCAATAAAGCCGGCAGCATCATACCCGAAATGACAGCCGGGAGGGAGAAGCACAGGCGTGAACTTGGAGAAAGAAGGCGGCACAAACTCCTCAGCCATGGGGTTTAATTTGGACAGCATGTCGGCCAAATCCCTCATTTCTTTCTCCCTTTTATACCCCTCCTCTCCGCCACCATCGCCGCCCTTATCAATCTCCCCATTTATCATCAAATCATCGCCGTTCTTTGTCAGAGGCGAAGGGTTACGATGCTCGCCCACCACACCATTTCCGTTTATGCCCTCATCTTCCTCCCCCGGCATCATCTGGAAATTCTGAACCCCGCTGGGCTCAGTTGACCGCCGATCAGTCTTCGCAGACTGGAGATGACGATCAGCAGCAACCACGCCGTTCTGCACAGTCGCTTCGTCCCCGTTCGATGATCCGACGCCGTTCAACGCAGCATTCTCAACCACCGCCATGATTCCTTCACAACCCTTCGATCACCGTTCAAAAAAAAAAGATTTTTCCCTACTGCTTATTATTCGTATTTCTGCCCTTTTCCCGATATGGGTTCTGTCGAAAAAGGCCAAAGAAAACTAAGAAACATAAGTGGCGCAGTATAATTCTCTGTGTATTTCCTTCCTTGATCAAAGACGATTTAAAGACAAAATTCTTGGAGTAAAAAAAGAAAAGAAAAAGAAAGGGCAAACCTTTACCTAGCAAAAAGAGCTCAAAGTTTATCCATCGATGGGCAAAGCACTATAAACAGCACGGAGAAGCGAGATCTCTCCCACACCTGAGAAATGGATAGAACAGCAAAAAATAAATCCAGAAGAAGACTTTTCCTCCTTTTCTGTAATTCTTTTGTTTTTACGGAGTCAGAGAGAGAAGATGAACGGTTGATAGAGAGAGAGAGAGAGAGAGAGAGAGAAAGGTATATTTTTCGGATCGCCCGTTTTACCGCACTGTACCTTTTCGGTCCTCCCTACTTCACTGATCACTAGCCACGTTTTATCGCTACACAAAGGGACAAAACACACCAAAGTCTTCTCTCTCACCCCTTTCTTTCTTTGTTTTTTTGTACGTAAAATTTATAATTTTTAGGAAATTGGAGAAAATTTAAAAGTTCGGTAAATTTAGAAAAAAAAGTCACAAATTTCAAAATGTTATGAGATATACGGAGTACTAACCAAATATTTTTTTGGAAAAGAATAAAAAAAAATTACAAAAAACTCGTGAATCCCTTTTTCCCATCGTAAAATGTCATTTTGACGGATATGTATTTATTTGACTATTTGGTATATTGCGAGGAGTTTGCATACAACAATTATGGTAGATCGGTCAAAGAAATTGCAAAAAACAGTTATAAAATTATTGATTTGCTGATTTCACAACCCGAACAAAAAATAATCAGAACAATCTCAATATACTCCACACAACCAGTCAATACATTATGTTGGTATTTCTCTATTGCTTATAAACAATTTTAATTTATAAACTGCTTATGAGTTAAAAATTATTTTGTGCAGATAAAATGACTTAAATGATATTAAAATTAATTTGAGGATATGCATAATTGATGAGAGATAGTTTTATACGTAATCTGGTCAAAATGGAAAAACAAAAAAATTGGCTGAAAAATAAATAAGTAAGATCTACTTATTTTTTCTGCCTTATAAGCATCTTATAAGTTAAAAAAAATTATAAGTAGTTTTGATCAACTTACGATATCATCATTAACACGACCATAACTACAAAATTTGTTACTCCGTATTAAACTTCAGCGTATAATAAAATTAACAAACACATTTATTACAAATAATAGAAGTAATAGGGAATATAGTATTATTATTCATTTTTTATTTTATTGTTTCTATAATTGTTGTTTTAATATGACTAGTATTCTCTCTTGTAATCTCTATATATAGTGATCAAACTTTCATTATTTTATAAGACCAACGATTATCAACCAATATTTATTTTAAAGTATTTTTACATTAACAATCCATTTGAATTTTACTTCAAAAAAAAACAATCCATTTGAATTTCACAAAGTAAGGCCCGGGAAGGTGCCTGTGCGCAACCCTTACCCCTCCTCAAAAATAGAAAAATTGTTTCCAAAGATACTCTTAGTTCAAGCATCACTAGGAATCACGTACGAAGCCTGATCCCTATATTAAAACTTAGAGTGATTATTTTTATCTGACTTATGATGAGTGTCGAAAGTTACATTATATGATAAAAGCAAGCTGATGAGATAGTTTAAAGAGTAAATTTACTTTATTCCATCTTACCACTATAGTAAAAAATACTCCCTAAAATGTTTAAATATCATTATGTCAATCTATTCTCGATAAAAAATTGAAGAGTACACTTTATATATATATATATATATATATATATATATATATATATAAAATCAATCTATATATCATTTATATTATAAACATACACATACAATAATCGGTCTTGCAAATGTAACATTGGTCTTGTTATGGTGGCCTTCAACTCCTCAGTTTCAACGAGGTCATTAATTGGTGCTTAGGACATTATTGTTGTTCTTTTGGATGACATATAAGTATATTATTAATAAGTGTAAAGATAACAAGAATAAAACAAGCATTTCTGAGTCAATATAAACGTTCGTGGACGTTGAAGTATCAATCCCAATTTCAAATAATTAGCATGTAATGTGAAACCAACAATAAATATACCATACCATTTTTTTTTAAATATATCACAAAAACATAAATAATCTACACAAAGTTGTTTGCTCTCCAAAAAAAGTACCCCTCCGTCCCTAAAAGATCTTCCACTTTTACCTCTTACTTTTTTCATACCCGACCTATCACATCAAACCTTTCTACTAATAATATACACAGCATATCTTACTTTTACCAATCACATCAAGGGTATTTTGGAAAGTCAACAAAAAAAATATCTCTCACTTAAATCCTCAAAAAATCAATAAGGGAAGATGTTTCAAAGAGGGAGGAGGTATATTCCTTAACAAGAGCTTAAATTTTTCATAAGGAGATTGTAGAAGTGGTTTTGCGTAAAACTTGATACAAAATGATATATACATTGATACAAAAAGATATACATAGGCTAACACGGATCTTGAATGGGGATGACGTTGAGACATCAAATTTTTATTTTATGTTGCTCTATCCATGTGTTCTTAATTTCCTTACATTAAACATGTAAAGTTATTGTTCTCATTGCGGAACGAATTTGTGATCTCGCACGTGGGAGTCACCATCATGTCATTTGACTAAAAGGTACTTGGCTTACCCTTTTATTCATAATTAAATAAAAAATTTATATGTGGCATATTAATTATATAAAACAATAATTTATAAAATAAATTTAATAAAATTATTTTGATATCAATATCCAATATCTTAATGGCCAAGTTTTGTTGATTTTAATTACAAAAAGTGTGTACAATTTTTTCCCTTTCTAAGAAAGGTATAATTCTTAACAATAATTTAAAATTTTCATAAGAGGATCTTAGATGGAGACAACCTTTAGACATTAAATTTTTATTTTCTATTGCCATATCCAAGGATGTTTTCTTTACATTAAGCATGTAGAGTTATTCTCCCATTGAGGATCAAATCTATGATCTCCCACATGAGAGTCGCCATTATGTTGTTAGGCCTCAAGTTCCTTGACTTAACTTTTTATCCATAATTAAATAAAAAGTATATACATCGTATTAATTATATATTAAAAAAATATTTTATAGAATAAATTTAATAAAATTATTTTGGTATTAATAAATAATATCTTAATGGTCAAGTTTTGTTGATTTTAATGACAAAAGATTAAAATTAAACAAATATTGAAAGATAAAGATAGTATTTCTACGCATTACAACTCTAGTTCTCATCCCATCTTGATCTAGAAATGACTACCGCATCCAGAAGATCAGAACTGTTATACTCCCTCGGTTTTTTAAAACACTTCCTCTTTCATTTTTTTCACTTCCAACAAAATACTTCCACTTTCTATTAAAAAACCATTTTTACCCTTACTTTTTCATACCCTACCTATCACATCATACTTTTTCTCTAATAATCTACCCATCACATCTTACTTTTACCCATCACATCAAGGGTAAAATTGGAAGTCAACTACAATTTAACACTTCCTTATTTTTCCACTTTTTCAAAGTAGGAATTGTTTTTTAGACGGAGGGAGTAGTATTTTACCAAAATTTAGACAGTATGGTAAGCAGTATTACTCCGTACATGCTACACATATATATGTATTTGAACATCTACACATATATTTTACATATAAAGATATTTATATTTTGATATATTAATAAAAAAACAAATTATATTAATAAAAAATTGGAAAAAACTATTTATAATGTATTTGATACACGAAAAAACGGTTATAAATATTTTTTTATAACAAAAAATAATTAAACATATATTAATCAGATATATATAATAACCATTTTAAGTGGATGCAAATATTTTTTCTCGTAACGAATACGGATGATAATCGAATTTTTAATTATTCATTTACACTTTTTTTTTTCTTGTTACAGTTGCGTGTCGTACTCGCGTGAGGGTGTAAAAGTTGGACCTTAAAATGGACGGTCTATTTCATGATATTCAAACCCGATTTGAAAATAATTCCAAAGTTTCGCACTTGGCCCACTGCATACCAAACCGCCATCTTGATGAAGACGCGACCTTTTTTTTTCCTTTGTGAACTCTTCTTAAAACACGACATACTCCCCTTGCCCCAAAATTACATCCAAAATTTTGTAAAACTGATAAAAAAATTATTTTATCAAATGATGAACAAAAATAAAAATTAAATAAATAATTAAAGACGTGACATTTTTTATTTTGTGATTAAAACGCGAAATACTTCTTTTATGCCGAAACTACATAAAAAAATTTATAAGACAAAATAAGACAAAAAAAACTTTATTTTATCAAAAAATCAATAAAACTAAAAAATAAACAAAGGTAATTGAGATGGAAAAATACTAACCGGGGAGATATTTCTAAAGGGAGGAAGTATTAAAGTTAACGTTATTTTGTGTCAAATTTTAAAGAACTTGCGCTTATATAACTAAAATTTATGCAAACAAAGAAATTTTAATTTATATGGATATACGGAGTAGTTATTTTATTCTTTTTCGAATTTTAACTGATTATTATGATTTGTTAGATTTATGAACAAAGTGATTAGAATTCATCCTAAATAAGACTAAAATATATAGAATAATACTAAAATAGGACTTTTATGTTTACCTTCTCGGAATAAGATTTTTCACTGTAGTAATGTAACACTATATAATGTGCATATTACTATACTCTTTTTGGTAATGTACAGGGACATATCTCCATTTCCGTGCTCTAATAATCAACTAAAAAGGAATGAATTGGGGGCAACTTTTTTCCTAAAAGTGATTGATATCTCAGACCCGAACAAATAGTGGCAGAAGGAGACCCGAACAAATACGCAGACCCTTTCGACTACGGGGGTGGGCTGGTGAACGCGAACGACATCCGAACCTCGGACTACATTCTCGATCCATTACCTCTGCGTCGTCGTCGGAAACAGTAACGTACGCCACGGATGACTTTGGTCTTTGGGAGCTTGACTTGGAGTGATGGGGTGCATGCATAGAGTGAGAAGCCCTGTTCGTGTCTGTTAAAACTGAGTTCCCATGAGATTTCTATAGGTAGAGGGAGATGAATAATGAGGAATAATTAATAAGCTAGCCATTATGATTCTTGTCTCTGTGTACAAATTCATATATGGTGAAACTATATCCTCTCTTTTTTTGTGTAAAACCGCATTGAGTTTCAATCCGCGGCATGACTTTGGGATGTGTTGTGTCTTTGTTAATGAACTGTCAGCACTAAATACCACTAAAACTTAAATCATTTCTCTAAATAGCTTAATTCCATAGATATTATTAAATAATGTCCAATGATGATAAATATTTGCTTAAATAATGACTAATGCATGATGACTAAAAGTGTAACATTGGAAAGAAAAACACATGTGGTGTTATTTAGAAAAAGTCATTATGTTTTAGTGCTATTTAAGTAAAATCCTCTTTGTTAATTTATGAGTGAAACAATGTTTTTTTAAAAAAAAAGTGGTTTGAAGTTTTAATTTTTTTAAGTGGAGTGACTATTCTTTTCTGGAAACCAAAGATGAAATTTATATAGAGAAAAAAAATACTCTTTGTGCTAAAAATAACTTTACATTTGATTTTTTATAATGATTAAGATAATACATTAATCATTCATAACTATATGTACAAATAAATAATTATTTTAAAATTCGATATATCAAAACTAAATATTAAAATTTATTTAATTATATCAAATTTACATTATAATTATATATACTTTTTTTTAAATTACGGTCAGCGTTTATAAAATTTAATTTCAAAAAAATCAAACATAAAGACATTTTTTGATCGGAGGGAGTAAAAAATCAAACATAATAATAATTTAATGCGCACAAGATATGTGTCGCCGACAGCCTATGTTCCCATTGCTTGTTACGATGTTTGATTGAAATTAATTTTAAATCATTTTATATGAAAAATTGTATGGAATTAACATTTGGTTGATTTCTAATGGTGACGTTAATATATTTGATGGATTTACATCAGGGTGATAGGTAAGCGGACAACAAGCTGTGTCGTCACCCCTTTCTAGATAGCAAATGCTATTCTACTAACAACAAATTTGTGACCATTTGGAACTGATACATTGTTACGAATAACCTTACGAGCTCAATCCAAGAAACGCACAACTTCAGGGGCTAAGGAACCAAAAGTGTCAAATGCAAAAGGAACAAATAGGGTTGATTCTCGGAGCAGGCAATTACATATTTAAAAAATAAAAATTATATATTTAAAAAATTTATGAAAAGATGTACAAAACTAAAGAGGTAACATTACGTTGTTATTTTATAAAATTGACAACATAAATACACTAACAAAGTTAATAAAATTTGATAGCCTGAATAAAGTTTGATGTTTAGTTCACATTTTATATCTTTGTGATTCAAGTGAGCTTACACACACTAATCTTCTACTCTATATGCAGCAAGCAATGTCCTCAAAGAACCGCCGCCTTCCACATCCGTTTCAATTTTGTTGAAACGGTGTACCTTTTTCTCTCATCCCTTTTATTTCATTCATTGTTTACCTTTTCATTCAAATGCTAGAAGGAATTATAGTATGAGGAATAACAATGCTGATATTGATACCTATGCAGATTAGCAGCATCAATTTGCCAGCAAGCTGTTCGATATAATGTCAAAATGAAATTTTGGATCAAAATTCAATCTCAAATTCTGTTTTTCTGTTCAGCATCCTTAGTTTGGTTGATTTCCATTAAAAAAACATAACTTTTGCATCTCTATCTTCGTTGTAGTAACTGATGTAAGAAGATAAGCCCATACATGCTAATAACATGCTGCTTCGAAGCATCTACTATTTCTTACCTTCCCCGTCCAAACTCTCACTGCTCTTCTGTCCACACTCCCATACATTGAGCCATTTTCCCCTCAAGCTAGGTAAAAGCCAAGCCTGGTTCGGAATTCGATCCTCCTTGAACAGACCAACCCATTTTTCTGCGGTCTCGCCTCTTATCCAAGAGAGAAAAATGATGACATCTTGCAAAAAGCTGTCCAAAAAGGCACGTTATGGAGCTCCCGAAAATGTGCTTCGCAATAAATTAGATCTTTGCTCAAAACACGGTGACTTGAAAGAAGCTCTCCGCCTCTATCATGAAGCTAAGCTGAATGGAGTTTCATTGAGTGTACACCATTACAATTCTTTGCTTTATTTGTGCTCGGCTTGGAGCTGTAAAGATGATGAGGAATCCAAAGATTTGGGTATTCAGGAGGGGTTTGATATCTATAGGGAAATGGATTTCAAGAAGGTGGCTCCAAATGAGGGTACGTTCACTAGTGCTGCGAGGCTAGCTGCTGCTAAGGAAGACCCTGTTCTGGCATTTGATCTGGTGAAACAGATGAAGAATTCTGGGATTCCTCCAAAGTTGAGGTCTTATGGGCCAGCCTTGTTTGGATTTTGCAAGAAAGGGATGGCGGACGAAGCATATGAGGTTGATGCCCATATGGTAGAATCAGGGGTGGTCGCAGAAGAGGAAGAACTTTCCGCCCTTTTGAGGGTTAGTTGTGGGACACAACAGGATGAGAAAGTGTATGAAATGATGCATAGGTTAAGGGCATCTGTGAGGCAGGTGTCAGAAGATACTGCTGCTGTTGTTGAAGATTGGTTTAGATCCGACGCTGCTGCAGGCGTTGAAATAGAGAAGTGGAACGTGGAGAAGGTTAAAGAAGGTGTATTGAAGGGTGGGGGTGGGTGGCACGGGCAAGGTTGGTTGGGGAAGGGAGAATGGGAAGTGGTGAGAACTGAGATGGGGGGTACTGGTGTGTGTCATTCATGTGGAGAAAGGCTTGTTAGCATTGATATTGATCCGATCGAGACTGAGAAATTTGCTAAATCTTTGACGGAGTTGGCTTCCAAAAGGGAGGCCAAGAATACATTTATTCACTTTCAGGTATGATGGGTAGTTTTTTATTTTTAATTTTTTATGTTGAAGTTTCTCATTTTCTCAATATGGTTAACTTTGTATGCTTTTTTTTTAATAGATATTTCTATTAATTCTATATGATTAAACTTCAACTTTATGTTTTGAGATACTATGATGCCTGTTTTTTATCTAATGAGAATAACACTGTTTTTAATGTGTGATGTAAATACATAATCATCATCATCACCATGTAAATTTCATTCAGTTTTACTGTTTGAAACTAATACTCCGTTTATGAACTACCATTCATTCAGGAGTGGCTTAAAAGGAATGGTCCATTCGATGCTGTGGTAGACGGAGCAAATGTCAGTCTTCTTAATAGCCAGGAATTTAGTTTTTTACAGGTAGAGAAAACTTTTCTTTTCCCAACTGTTTGTGTCTTTACTTATGTATCCATGGGATCTGTTTATATAGACATTATTTGATAATAAGTTGGAAAAAAAAACATAGATACAGATCCAATCTGGAAGTTGAAGGGCGGCAATATGACTTGCACCTAACCTTTTTTTGCTCTTTTTGTTGCAGCTCAAATCTGTTGTAAACGAATTACATCAAATAAGCAAATCAAAGAAGCTGCCACTTGTTATATTGCATACGAGTCGTGTGACAGGAGGACCTGCTTTGCATCCTAGGAACAAGAAGCTATTGGAAAGCTGGAGAAGAGCTGGTGCACTTTATGCAACTCCGTTGGGTTCGTGCGATGATTGGTAATATTCTTTAATTGTTCTTTTTGTCTCTCTGCACTTTCTCCAATAGAGCTAAGATCCGAACTTGGTCCGCTTTCTTTTGGACTCAATTTGGTGCTTGACTATCCAATTCGATCAAACTCAATTCTTTTCCAATTCATATTTGGCTCTAATTAAGAAGTATATTTTCGTACACCAAAGATTACATTGTGTTACATAGTTGAGGGCCTAATTGAATCCAAAATTGGGTATAACTTAGGGAAAATATGAGATTCTGAAAAAAAAACAAATCTCAATCATGAATACCACCACTAGTGGCCAGTTTTGTGATTGCATTAACAGGTCCATTTCAGTGAATATGGTTTCGAAAATTCAAAAACAGTTAAACTTCATCTGCAGGTATTGGTTATATGCCGCAGTTAGTAGTAATTGTTTGCTGGTGACTAATGATGAGATGAGAGATCACATATTCCAGTTGTTAGGGAATGGCTTTATCCCCAGATGGAAGGAAAAACATCAGGTACATACCATCCCTTTGATGCTTCCTCTTATGGCCAGTTTGGATGGAGGGTTTCTAGAAATGGATAAAGGAAGATGGAAATGTTATATGATCAAATCTCAATTCCCTCCATCCAAACAGGCCCTTAGGGGTTGTTCACAACTCAGGAGGAATTGGCTTCTCTTCTTGCAGTGAAATCGTGTTAATTCGTTGTAAGTGTGTTTAAAATGATAGATTCGGATGACCGCATCTAGGGAAGAGGGAGTTAAGCTATGCATGCCTCCTCCATATTCAATTGTTATACAAGTGAGTAATATGCTTTTATATACAACTACTAGTAGTTGCTTATTCTTTGAGAACAAAAAAAAAAGGCAATTCGGGATTGCTGATGACTGGGAATGAAATTGCAGGAGTCGGAAGAGGGCAATTGGCACATACCGACAGTCACCGGAGATGACCTTGAAACACCACGTCAGTGGGTATGCGCCCGCCGGAGGAAGAAGAATCCACCACTGCACACTCTCTTTTAGTAAGCACATACGCATACATATGTTTTCAAGTTCATGAACATCAGGGGAGATATTAGGAGGAAAAAATGTTTTAAAAATTTACCCCTTAAAATCTACTCTATAATTTAAAATTACCCAGCATTTTATCATCCTGTAGTTTCGTACAAAGTTGAAGTTTAAACAGTGAAGTGGAAAATGCAGACAAATTTAGACTCCAATATTGTGTTTGTTTGTTTTTTCACCTAAACCTTTGATGCTTTCTTAAAGTGCTTTTTCATATTCAAGAAAATAGAGTAGTGGTTGAAACTTGAAAGCTTTACTTTTCATATATATTTTTAAGCAAGCGTTATTCTTAAGACTCTTGCCGTGTAACCTGACCCACCTTCACTATCATCCTTGGAAAAAAAATTAAAGAAAAAAATGGAGATATGATTGTGAACTTTAAATTATTTATTCGTACCAAATATACATGCATATTCACCAGGGGAAATGTGTCTGCCCCACATATTGGAAAAGTTAACATAAAGAAATGGGTCATTGGTTGGAGTTGGTCTTAGCTGCTGCATTAGCCTATGTATTTTTAAAAAATAAAACCTGTGGCTCCTAACATAATGATAATTTACCCGCGAGAGACGGGTCCTACCGCCACCTATAATAGGAGTGTGAAACCACTAGAATCATGACAATTGTGCAACATTAAAATTATTAGTGTACATTTTGTCATGATCATAGTGCACAATTGTCACAATCTGACGGGCGAATTGAAAAAAAAGGATGAACCTCATCTCTAGAGCCCCCTATAGATAAGGTAAATTTTGCTATAAGTTTAGTATGACAAATAAGGAGTATTAAATGTTCCCGGTACAGGCATGGTCTCCATGTTTACCTATGGTCGGCCTTCATCACCGTTGTCAGGAATCAAACCTAGACATTACCTTTTTTTGCCATCTAAGCTACACTCATGGCACTTGAGTGGATGAATAAGATATTGAGACTTGAGGTTCATGCCTACGTTAAAAAGTCAAATGGAGGTGAAAAGTAATCCAATACCTTTTGATCTATGGTGTCTTTCAAAGGGCTTTAAGCAAAGGGAGTCTTCCACTAACATCATAGCACACTAGTATATTTTATTATTACTATATCAGAGCCTGAAACGCAATCCCAAGTCTGCCAGCCAATTGCTAAAAGCCACAAAGGCAGTGACAAAATGATTGTTAACCCTTCCATTGATTGATTTGGCAGGAAACCATATCTTCCCCTCTCATTCCTTCCTTAGAATCCTTACCATTATATATATATATTTCTAAAACTAACAATTCCCATAACCCATCTTCTCCCTCCTTTACTCTCTCTCTTTTTTTCCTCTGCAGATGTCTCAGATCACTATACAATCCCCCAAACACTGCTCCAAGAGAGAACTTACCATTCACAGGTTCAGATTCAACAAGAAGCTCTTCCTCTCCTTCCTGATTTCCATTTTTGCCCTCATCGTCATCGTCTGGCTAACCCTACACCCCTCCAAGCCGGAGTTCTCCCTCACGGCGGCAAACATCAACCAACTCAACCTCACTGCCTCCCGCCTTCTCTACTCCTCCATCCAGCTCACTCTCCTATCCAAGAACCCAAACAAGAAAATAGGGATATACTATGACGAAATGCACGTGTTCGGGTCCTACAAGGGGCAGCAGATAACGGTTTACAGCTACATCCCTCCCTTCTATCAAGGGCACGAAGACACCAACCTTGTTTCTGCAGCTTTGACCGGGAACGGATTGCCCGTGGCTCCTTCGTTTAGCTACGAGGTGGAGAGGGATCAGACTGCCGGGAGGTTTGTGTTGGTGGTTAAGGCGGGTGGGAGGCTGAGGTGGAAGGTGGGAACTTGGGTTTCTGGGAAGTATAGGTTTAATGTTAACTGTGTTGCCATGATGCCATTGGGAGATACCTTGGGGTTGAGTTATACTAGGATTAAGCAAGGGAGTCAATGCTCTACTACCCTTTGAACAAGATGATGAACACTTCTAATGCCTCTTTTTCTTCATTCTCTTCATGTCCATATTGTTGTTTTCTTTTACTTTATTTCTTTGAGGTTTGAGTTTTTTTTTATAAAAAAAAATATAATACTCCTAATCATGATTTGGTGTTTGTGTATGAGATTATAGGGAAAGCAAAAAAGTAATAAAGGGGAGTGAGTGCAAAGTTTATGTCTTATCTTCTGATAACCTCATTATTGTTTGCCTTACTTGTTGTGTTGGGTTCTACAAGTGGATTCCATCAGAATATGCCCTCCACCTTTTTCTGCTGCTATTTTATTTTAGTCTTTTTCAAAACTCTGTAGTCCACTGCTTTGATATTATATTTGTGAATTTGTGGTTGAGTCTCTAAAGCTAAATTTAGTTGCTTAATACTAAACTATAACCCCTCTGCTTTATAGGATTAGGTAAAGTTGTCTGCACTCACTTTTTTGAGGCCCTACTCGTGCCCATGGGACCCACTCGCTCCGTTCCATGAAACGATATAAATTGAAAAAAATTGTCTGCTCGCGGGAATGCTTAGTCCTTCCTTAGTGGGAAGAAGATCTACTCCGTGTTACGTATATTCATCTATAGACCACACTTGTGAACTTTATTTGGTAGTTTGAAAGAGAATTGTTTAGACACATTTTTCGACGACGACTATCCCCAAATTAGATTACAGATTCTTATAACTAATGTTGGGAGCTTTGATATAATGTACTGAATAATTGTATCATTGATGTCATAAGTAGGATAACTGAACAAAGATTCATTTGTCACACTAGATTGGGGATTAAAGCTGTGCATAATTTGTCCCTAAGCATATTTTGTTGTCTGATACATAAAGATTCGAACAATGGTTTGCAATTCCAATGAATTCATTAAATTAAGATCCACTGTATTCCGACCAAAACAGGTCAGCAGCTCATTATCTGATGCACAAAGTTCATCCATAAACTATTGCTGTGTCAAATCTGGGTATTCTGAGGTGGAATGTCTTCAAAAGAACATACACAACAAGACACCCATTGAAACTCTCTTTTTCCTCCATTTTTCTTTTTACAAATCACAAAAAAAAAGTTAAGTCTGTCTGTGAGGGATTATTTCTACATGGTAAAGGAGTGGGTGGTTGTTTCCAAGAAACCTCCAATCAAATACATGAGCACGGAAAAAAAAACACAATTGCACGAAAAAAAAAGTCTGTTTTAACTAAATTTTTAACCCATTATTTATTACATATTTGAGAAAATAATATAATTTTATCACATCTTGTTCTGTACAATTTTTGATACGGAGTATATAATTTTTATTTTTTTTAGTTTCATTCCAATATTCAAATAAATTAAATTTTTAAATAATTTCAGTCAAAATTCGTAAACAATAGAGATGATTAAAATTAGAACACAAGGAGTACAACGTGAACAAAAAAAATGCACACATCGACTCTAACCAGCTACATACTAAGACCAAAACACACACCAAAATAAAAATAAACTAAAACTCAGATATCTATCTAACTACTTTAATCTCAAATATTGAGGCATTCAAATTTTCCATAACATCCTGAAACTGAGATTATACCTGGGAAAAAGTCACCCCTCGAGGAGAAGATAATAATGTTAACATTCATCAAACCCATTGACAAACACCACTAATATAATGTTATGGTGGTACACCAAAATGGTGTACTCCATTTGCACACTAGGCAAACATAGACACCAAATATCTGTGATTTCCAGATATGCTAGAGGTACACCAAAACCACAAAGTGTCTGTGTTTGTCTGGTGTACGAATGGGGTACACAATTTTGGTGTACTAATGTTATTGTTACTTGATCAATACAATACAATCTGGTCTTGTGGTAAGAAAAAAAAAGAAGTGAAATCTTTAATGATAAACCCCTCTCATCACACTCTGAGCATCTGCAACTTGTTAGAGAAAGCAATGGCAATCCAGTCAGGCTGAGCGGCAGACCATTGGAGCTGATTAATCTCCGACCCGGCCCAATACATTGACAACGGGTCAATCCCATTTGGGCCTGCAACCGTGGGCAATTCCCAGATTAGGGCCTGCCCATCGTCTCCCCCGGAACACAAGTGCCTGTAGCTCTGTGGGGCCCAAGCGATTGCGTTGACGCCGCCGTTGTGCCTCTCCAGCTCCGCCACCGGCATCGCCGGCGACCTTATGTCCAGTATCACGATCTTGTTGCTGTCCATAAGTGTGGTCGCCATGTACCTCAGGTCCTGCTTGTTCCAAGCCAGCCTCAGCAATGGCGTCTCCGGCTGCGGGCTCTCGTATATGATCGTCGAGTGTTCCTTGTCTCTCAGATCGAAGATCCGGACCGACCCGTCGGCGGAAACCGAGGCGAAAACTCCGGCCTGTCCCCAGGCTATGTCGTACACCTCCTTGTCGTGGGCTATCAGCTGGGTTTCCACAACCCCTTTCTCTATGTCCCAGATCGTACACGTGGTGTCGATGCTGGATGTTCCGATCCGCCGCGGCTCCACCTCGTTCCAATCGAAGGAGGTCAGGGGAGCGCAGTATTCGCTGGTTTTGCTGTTGTTGAGGGTCGTGACGGGCTCGACGGAGGATTCTCGGACTTCCCAGAGACGGAGGTAGTCGCCGGAGGAGACGAGGAGGCCGGCGGACTTCGCTGCGGATGTCGGGTTCGGGTGGAACATGAGCTTCGTGGGCGGGTAAGGGTGATCGAAGGCTAGAACCGGGTTCGGCTTGAGAGCCACGGCGTCTTCTTCGAAGGAGAGAATCTCGACCCGGTTCTTGTGTTCTTCGATGAAGCTGCCGACGGCGATGCTTCGTTGCCGGGGGTGGGCGGAGACCGCCATGGCGAAAATCGGGCAGGGGAAATCATAGGTGGGGGTGTTCTCAGATCGGAGGCTCGATTCCTGGGCTGAATTCTCCATTCGTGGACGACAAGAGATTTTGGGAGTTCAGTCCAGAGGAGAATCGCCGGTGCTTGGCGCTCGCCTGTTGCAGATGCAACCGAGAGAAGAAAGGTAAATGTGGATCGTGGGCCCAGCTATTGACCCATTCATTATTGACTGTTTCGGGCCTTGACTCGCTAAATGGGCATAAAGTAGTGCCCACTCCTTTTTAAAACATTAACCACCTAGGACCATGCTACACCCCCACCCTTGCCTCTACCCACTTTTCTATAACATATTTATCTCTACTTATTCTTCACTCACCCTCTAAAGGCCTGTTTGGGACGTTAACGCTAAACGCTGGCCGTAGATAGCTTTTTCAAAACGCTAACGCTATTCCCAAACAGGCCCTAATTTTAATTTTCTTGCCTCCCTACCACATGTTTATGTAGGGGGCATGGGTGGTAGCAAGGGTGGGGGGTTTAGCATTTTCCAACCACCTAACACAATATTTACGTGCTTTGGGTTCCTTCCCGAAAACTTATTTAGGGCCCGTTAGTTGAGTGTTGAACTCTAATTTCTTCTGAAATCAAAATTCCTTCGTAAATGTTTGTCCCCGTTTGGTACACGGAATTCAAATTATGGAATTGGAATTGAGAATTCCAATTCCAATTTTGGTGTTTGGTAGCACAAAAAGTATGTTGATTTGGAATTGGTAGTGCAAAAAATGAATTAGAATTGATGAATTCATTTCTATGAAATTGAATCCCATAAAATTTTAATTCAAACAAAATTTAGTATTCAAACGGTCCTTCCACATAAAGCAATATTTAGCAGATGTTTTTCTGTATATGATTATTGACTTATTGCTTATAAACATAAGTTCTAAGTTTTTTATAAACAAAAATATATAAGATCTACTTATTTTCTATGACATTTAAACAATTTATAAGTCAGTTTTTAAGCACAGAGAAATACATCATTAACTGACTTATAAGCAATTTTGACTAGCTTATACGGAGTATAAGTTAAAAACTGCTTATATACTAGAAGGATAAATAGAAATAAGAAAATTGTAGAATCTGTTAGAGATACTTTAAAGTTGATTTATTTTCGGAATGGAAGGGGTATTACATTGAGTTTATATGCAACGCCTCCTTTTACCATTAAAATCATCTTGATAAACATATTCCTTCAAGTTTCTTTTATAAAAAAAATTGCCTAGGTATGTAAACATTTGTAATCTTGAACTCAGGATGGAGGTACTGTCCAATAATTTGTGTAGGTTTCATTTGACATAAGTGTCTCTATTTTGTTTTAGAGAAAACGTTATGTAAAAAGGTTTATAAAAGCAATTATAACGATCAAAAAAATTATTTAAATTGCAAATGTTGTTTCAAGCAAGCGCTCTTGTATGAGTCCATAAAGGTACAATTATGGTGTTTGGAAAAAAATTATTTTATACAATTTAATAATAGTAGTAGGTCTTAATAAATAATAAAAGATACATCAATATATTCAGAGATTATAAGAGAAAATTCGTATCTAAGTATGAGAAGAAATATACTAACAATAAAATGAGAAAATAGTACAATAAAAAGATAATAAATAATAATTTCTATTTTCTAATATATCTATTATTTTTAATATTATATATGTAACAATAATGTTTAACTTTAACATTTTGAAAGTAAAGATATATGATCCGTATTACCGACTACCAAGTAGTTGAAGATGGGATTTGAATTGTAAGACCTGAAGTCAACATTATGTTTACCTACTATTTTAAGGATGGACTTAATTATTTTTTGGAACTCATTAAAAGTCCTTATTGCATTTCGTCAACTCATCATTTGTTATACGAACAGAAGTATAATAATGTATAGATCTGATAGTTGATTAATTTTTGTTCAATACCTAATAATTTAATATAATAAAAGAAAAATTTACCTAAGTAGTAATAAAATATAGCGAGCTTTTGAATGTAGTATTATATGTTTTTTTTCCAAATGCTGTACCGCTGACATTGGTTATTGTTCAAGTAAATATCCACCGTCATTAGACATTGTTCAAACTAAGGCTACTATTGGCATCAGCGTTCTTGTTTTAAGAAGGCTATCTGACATTAGACTTTAGCATTAGCGTTTTACGAATTAATCTATACTGTTAATATTTTATCAAAACGATAACGGTAATTGAGAATGCTCTTCCCAAACAACGCCTAAATATCCATCATTATTGGACATTGTTTCCTCCATTAGACATTACGTAAGTATCATTTAAGGAATAAAAAGTTTAAGTAATACATTGAAAAATAACATATGTTAGTTTTAGTACTATTTAGTACAAATTTCATTCATTTAATAAAAACTACTCCCTCCGTCCACAAATAAACTTCCTGTTGCGCGTTACGATGTTTGACTGAAGTTATTTTAAAATCATTTTATATGAAAAATGGTGTAAAATTTAAAAATAAAAATTACATATTAAAAAACTATATCAAAAGATCTACAATACTAGAGCTGACATGACTATATTATTTTACCAAATATGTAACGAAAATAGGCCAATACAATGAAAATAGTTTGACCATGTAAATAGTGAACGAGAAATTTATTTGTATTGTGAAGGAGTATATTCAAACCAATAGAAACTTATTAAAAGATCATATAATGTCAAGGATTATTAGTATGAAAAAAACGTTCAAATGAGAATATGAGATAAGTAAAACAAAACTACACGTGTAGGGCCAGATTTACTTTCAAATTAAAGACCGTGAAATGGAATCTACTACTTGGAGAATTCCATAATCCAAGTGTTAACCGCGCAACAAACCTTGCGGAATCCCCGGAAGCCGGCGGCCACAGCCAGCGCCTCAAATTCCTTCTCGGTCCTCTCCTTCCCGCCGGGGTTATGCGCCAGCATGATCACATCAATGTGCACCACGTTCCTCGTCTCCGGCGACGCGTCCGGCGCTTCCGGAAGGACGCACTCCGCCACGATCACCTTCCCGTCCTCCGGCACCGCCGCGTGGCAGTTCCTCAGCAGCTTCAGGCAGTGGGCGTCGCTCCAGTCGTGGCAAATCCACTTCATGAAAACGGCGTCCCCTCTCGGCACGCTCTCGAACATGTCTCCTCCGACGTGCTCGATACCGGGAGAGAGGGGAGCGTCGCGAATGACGTGGGGAAGATCGAAGTTGACGCCCTTGATGTGGGGGTATTTGGAAAGGATCATTTTGAGGGTGGCGCCGGTGCCGCCCCCGACGTCCACCAGGGATTTGAGGCCGTCAAAGCCGCGGTAATCGTCGAGAATCTTCTTCATGGTGATGGTGGAGTGGTGGGACATTCCGAGGTTGAAGACCTCGTTGAATCTCGGGTCGGTCCCGTGGTACTCGAATGCGCTCATTCCGTACGCCTTGTTGAACGGGATCCCGCCGTCGAGTACCGCTTCTTTTAAGTGATACCTACATTACAAACCATTGTTATTCAATTCTTAAACGATACTAATAATTATTTTTATTATAATAATTTTTTGCATTATAGTCAATTTTTAATATACTTCATCTATATTAAGATGAAGTATATACTTTCTTGTGCATGTATATACTTCATCTATCATGTATTTCAATAATTATCAAATTCGGACGGGCAAATAAGCAGATAGATTGAAATTAATCATGATACTCCTTTCGTTCAATATCTTTCTTTCCTGAGTATTATTTCAATTCCACAAAATTTTTTATTTATTTGCATTCTTTCACAGCTTATAAAATAATACTCCCTCCGTCCGCCTAAAATGTTCTCATTTTGACTTTTGGTGGTTTTTAAGGAGAATTGGAAAAAGGTGAAAGTTTACCATAATACCCTTAATGAAAAATGGGTGGAGTGTATTAAATGAGGTGGGTGAGGTGTAATAAATAAAGTAAGTGGGGATAGTTGTGGTATTTTACTTGTTAAAAAATGAAATGAGAAGATCTATTGTGGACAAATATTGTGGACAAAGAAAAAGGGCTATTGGGAAAATCTATGGTGGACATAAGGTAGTATAAAATATTCTTATTGCCAGTATTCTCATTTCTCTATGAGATAATATCCTTGTCACCGCTTTGTCACCCCTCGTTCTATTCAAAGTCCAATTTCTAGAGAAAAAGTGTAAATTCGAAAATGGGGATGACGACTAGAGAGTTGAGGTAGTTGACCAGTCGTGTGTAAAATGTGGTTACACGTCAATGTTCCCCTTCCATTTTCCGCTCCACTTTCGCTATCCGTATGTTACGTAGACACTACAATTGGATAGAGACTTTGAAGAGTTGACCAAATTTAAATTGTGTTTTATCTTCGTTTGATACATGAAGACAAAAGCTGGGTAACCATTTTTTTGGGAGGAATTTACTTAAATAGTACTAAAACATAATGACTTTTCATAAATAACACTATATGTGTTTTTATTTCCAATGTAGCACTTTTAGTCATTATCCATTAGTCATTATTCAAATAAATGTTTGTCATCACTGGTCATTATAGACATTATTAAGTGCTATTTAGGGAATAAAACAATTTAAGTGCTATTTAGAGAAATGACTTAAGTTTTAGTGCTATTTAATGCAAATATTTCTTTTTTTGTTCCGAAATACAATAAAAATCAAAAAAAGAAACATGACATTTGACAAAAACAAATCCACGTTCTATTTTATTCCCTCAAAACTTTTTCACTTTGAAAAAAAGTGATATTGGATTAATTCTAAACTTAGTCGTGCTTTATTGTTAGCTAGCATAGAATGAGATGTGTTATCATTGGGAGATTTCCCTCACATCCAAAAAGGAGACAAATAGAAGTGTAATACTTCATATTTAGTTCTTTCATCTCGTAAAACTTTTTAAAGAAGAATAAAAGTGCACCCTAAAACTTATAAATGGTCGTCAAATGGTCTTTTCACATATCGCAAATTCGTTTTAAGACAGTGGAAGCCCCATGACTTGTGTAATGGGTCTATCACGGAAATGCGCTAAAACCTACGTATATCCCCCACACTACGTTTGGTCCAACGACATTTATCATAGTTTTGAAGCAGGCTCGGTATAAGTTTGAACTCTTGGTCTGTTGGGCTAGCAGGCCACGCACATGCAAGTTTTGAATCTTGGATAGAACTCCAATTATTAGCCTATGCATGCATGTATCCTCAAGAAGAATTA